ATCGGTTAGCTTAAAATTAAAACTAAAATAAAAGCTTCAAGAGAGATTTTGCATATTTTAAAATTCACTTTAAAACTTAGGTCTCGAGTTTCAATGGAAACAGCTGATATCTATATGCATAAAGATTTACATAAAATTAGAATATATGCATAAAAATTCCCCAAAATATATACATAAAAGAAATGAGAATGACAAGTTATTGTTCACCTTTGAAAGATTTTAGCAAAATGTTTTCACATAATGGTGACAAAGTTAACCGTTTTTTTAGTAATAGAAATGGTCATATGTCGATTTACATTCGAGATAAAATACGTCCGGCCCACATCAAAGCATAAAACACCGCACAGGTATGTCAAATGGGGATAAGAAATGATAAGGTCGACTCACAGCAGTTTATGTTCGGTTGACCTCTCATCTATACTGTCAGGTCGTTCAACATGGCGTTGTTGACGTTAAGGCTAATGGTAATAATAGGCTATTCCTTATAAGGAAACATTCCCCATTTATCGACCGAACAGCCAGTGCTACACAAGTTACGCTTTTCTTTACTCCCTGGGCATTGGACAAAGATCAAAGTGTAGAATCTGTTCTCCTCACCTCTCGTGGTAATGGTAATATAAGCTGTCTCCTTATAAGGAAACATTCCGCATTTATCGACCGAACAGCAAGTGCTACACAAGTTACGCTTTTCTTTACTCCCTGGGCATTGGACAAAGATCAAACTACATTTTCTCCTCACCTCTCGTGGTAATGGTTCCGTCTCCGGATAGAGCGAAACTTTATCGAAAATATTATTACACAAGTTACGCCTTTACTCCCTGGGCATTGGACAAAGGTGTAACTGTTCTCCTCACCTCTCGTTCATTGTACTAAAGGGGTCTCCTTATAAGGCCATTCCGCATTTTTCGACCGAACAGCCAGTGCTACACAAGTTACGCTTTTCTTTACTCCCCTGGGCATTGGACAAAGATCAAAGTGTAGAATTCTCACACCTCTCAGCGGTAATATAAGGTCGATAAGGAAACATTTCCGCATTTATCGACGAACAGCAAAGTCTACACAAGTTACCTTTTCTTTACCCCTGGGCATTGGACAAAGATCAAAGTATATTTTATCTCTCAGTTGTGTTTCTCTATAAGCTGTCGGACAAAGAAAATTCAACCGAATAAATGCTACACAAGTTACTTTTTTTTACCCCTCGCATTGGACAACAAAGTGTAGAATCTGTTCTCCTCACCTCTCGTGGTAATGGTAATATAAGCCTCCTTAAAGAGGAAACATTCCGCATTCGACCGAACAACAAGTTACTGAAGTTACGCTTTTCTTTACTCCCTTTGGACAAAGATCAAAGGACTGTTCTCCTCACCTCTCGTGGTAATGTTATCCTCAATAAGGAAACATTCCGCATTTATCGACCGAACAGCAAAGTTTACACAAGTTACGCTTTTTCTTTATCCCTGGGCATTGGACTAAAGATCAAATAGTAAATCTGTTCTCCTCACCTCTCGTGGTAATGGTAATATAATGTCTCCTTATAAGGAAACATTCCCCATTTATCGACCGAACAGAATAGTGCTACATAGATTACGCTTTTCTTTAGATATGGACAAGATCAAAGTGTAGAATCTGTTCTCCCACCTCTCGTGGTAATGGTAATATAGATGTCTCCTTATAAGATAGATAGATTTTTCGACCGATAGATGCTACATAGATATTTCTTTAATTGGACAAAACTCTCGTTTTAATGCCAGCTGTTCTTATATCTATCTCAGTCTCCTTATAAGAAACATTCCATTTATCGACCGAACAGCAAGTGCTACAGTTATTTTCAATTGGACAAAGTCAAAACTTAGATCTCTCAGTTGTGCACAAGGCCGAAAATATTGATGAAAAGGCCTCCAGTTTAGGATCGAAATCATTACTTCCTTCATTGCACTAAAGGGGGAGATCGGCCATAATACCAGCGCAATCTACTGTTTCCGGTGCTAGGCTATTTGGGGTCATGGCCCAGGCGCACGCTTTCAGCGTGGGTCGATTTCACGTTTATTCATATCCCGGGCGTAGTATATATTTATCTCTCAGTTGTGTTTCTCTCTTCGGACAGAAAACAACAAATAAATCGATTTCCGTTTATTCAACCTGTGGCGATTTCCCTATTATACCATCTATTCGTGGATTTCTAGTTATTATCATTTCATGTGGACTATTATCCTCATCTTGTTATTTCCCAAAGTTTCGGATGTTTGGCTATCACATTTATACATATCTATCTATCTATCAATCTAAATCATGTCATTTAGATTAATTATCTATAGATAGATAGATAGATAGATTATAGATATAGATAGATAGATCTATCTATCAGAGATAGATAGATTTAGATGATAGATAGATAGATATATAGATCGATTTCAGTTTATTAATAAAATCAGATTTATATAAACAGTTTATCTATTCTTATCTCTATCTCATCTATCTGTGATTTTCATTAATTATCTAT